CAAAAAAAAATCCTGTTCAGCTGTTCAACTTTTTAAAATACACTTCTCCATTTGGCCGAGTTCAGAATCACAATCAGCTTTCTTCACCTAGTGTACTGGGGCACACAAGGAATTTGCTTCCGGCTGCTTGAAACTCCCTAGTACACAAATAATAAATACCACTATACAGCAATAAATTACACTATACAAGAAATAAAATTTTAAATATACACACATGGGTAACACTGTACAAGTATAAGGTGCGAGGTTGAGTGCAAACAGAGTTTTTAGGGGGGGAAATTGAGAGAAGGCAGGTGACACAGCTTAGCTGTTTATGAGGGTGATGGCCTGAGGGAAGAACTTGCTCCTATGTCTGGTGGTTTTTGTGTACAGAGTTCTGAAGCGCCTATTGGCTAAAGATACACATTTCAGGTAAATAAACAAAGAGTTGCAGCTTTGATAATACTTTTTCTCATGCAAATTTAGCCTGTTCATTTATTCATTCCTTCATCAATCCATCTATCCATTCATTCGTTGTGATCCCGAAATAGGCCGACCAATGTTCCAAAATATTGGCACAGACAAAGGAAAATCTTTTCTGGAGGACAGTGCAGTAGTAATGTATGAACAATTTATATTATACTTCTCGGACAATGAAAAATATGTCGCGATAAATGATGCCCGACTTGCAGGTTTGATTGAAGTGGATTGTAGGATATGGGGAGAAGGGTGACAGCTGTCTGGAAAACAATTCAGAGCCATGGCTTGGCCTTACCATAATTCGGCTGGAGTAAAATCACGATGCAGCGTAAACGTCTTTAGGACATGGATTTTAATTATTCAGAAGCATCACTTCTGCTATTTGTAACCACAAATAAATGCCATGTAGTTCATCGTACTATCAATATAAAACATAAACATATTGACCTTGGCAAACGTGACCGGACTACCCTAAAAATGCCATTTAATGTTTAAAATCGTTCATGTGGTATTTGTGTTGCAACAAGAAATTCAGTCAAACAAGTAGCTGATCCGAAAGACCCATAATGGAGGATTATTTCAGCAGCTTTCAAGTTTCCACCGATTTCGCCAATTCTATAGGAGAAAAATAAGTTCAATGTATTAAGTTATGCAGACTTCGTAAGTCACTCAAGTGGGATATATCGAGTCTTTTATTAAAAATAGATACATGAGAGAAACGACATGAGTAAATATTTAAAAATATTTTCCACCTACAAAACGCAACGGACGTTTCTCTGAAGCGCTCGACACGCCTCCAACAGCTGCCCGCTTACGGAAAGACGATGACATCACTGCCGCCTATAGGGTGACACATAGTGGAGAAACCGGGCAATTACAAGAAAGTTCAGGAATGTGCTGGAGTTCGCGGAGTCACAATATAAAGCGTGAGCCCTGAGAGCCGAGGCAGAAGCAACGCAGAGCTGACGCTGAGCGAACTCCCAGAGCTAAGTAGAGACGACACTGAAGGACCACTGACCATGCTGTGCTCCCACGTGTTCCAGCCTTCCTTCGGACCACTGATGGAGTTCCACTGGCCGGTACGCAGCATCTGGCCACACATGCGACCTCTGGCACTTCAGCATGAGATGCTGCTGAGGAGCATGCAGGATATGAGCACCAGCATGGGTCTCCTAGAGAAGGTTCATGAGCAGATCCTGCAGGAGATGGATAAAGTTCCGTGCTCTTTGTCCCCCAAACCGCTCTCCTGCCAGATGGAGAAAGATGGAGACGACTTTGC